CGAAAGCACCTCCGAAATCCGCTTGCCAACGCTCACCTCGAAACGACGAATAGGATTTCTTCAAAACCACATAAGTACACGTAACTGGCTAATCTTTCCTCTTCCCTTCCTTCTTCCATGAAGGTGTTAAGCCATACAAATGTGCAGTCACTCTTACGTTGGTTTTGCTGTTTTAAGTGTATTATGTGGTAATTCCTATGGAATGATTTTAATAGCAGGAAGTGGCAACACTCACTCTGTCACTCATCCCTGACCAGGGGTCATAATCCTGCAAACAGATGTGGGGATATGGCTTCTAGTACAAACATGAATATCGTTCATTAGTTAATTAATTTTCTCGGTTTTGGATATCTATAGTTTCAACTGCAACGAATTTCAATGCATTCATGATTTCTTGCAAACTGAGAATTTTCTCCTTATGATTCATTATAACCGCGAATTCTATGTACTCCATGCTCTTCTTGTACGAATTTCTTTGACTGATTGTTGAAATTCACTCTTTTTTTTCTTTTTTTTTTACTCTTTCGGTTCATTTTATTCTTTCTGAATTATCTGTATTCACGAACGATACATACCATATTATTTCTTCCTATTAGACAGTTGCCTCCACTCCCTGACGACCTCACCTCACGTTCCCTTAGCCGATCAGTCTGGGGTTGGAAATAGCTGTCCTGTATGTTTGTGCCGTCCATTGTTCAGTGAGAATTTGTATGATTTTATCATTTCCATATAGCGTTAGTATTCATTATGCACAGGGATTCGTGGGTTTTCGTGAATCATCTAATAGAAGTTCTTCCCCGGGATCCTAGAGTAGGTTAAAAAAATAAAACTGAAGGTGCTCGTTCGATTGGCAATTTGTGTCGGTGTGAGCCCGTATTGCTGTCTGATTATAAATGTAGTTCCCAGGTTTTGAGCTAGAATAATGAATAGCAAATTAATCACACCCTTCTCATCTTACTTCCGTCGCTTGTGTGTTCTGGAAATCCAAGGAAATCCCATGATTTCGTGAGTTAGCCACGAGCACCCATCACTGATTGTAGAGCAGAGTCGGTAACCATAGACTTTTTCCGTCTCGTTCAGTTCGCTTTATTTCGTTTCGCAATTTTGGTTAATGGT